AGAAATGCTGAATTCTTTTGAAAACTAAATAGAACTTACTATACACGATGTAGAAAACTTTACTAGTATTATCTCTGCTCTTTTACTGTGTCTTAAATTACAGAAAATTTCAGAATTTTTCAACTTGATGCTGATTTCATTAATATGCAGAGTATATTATCAATGGATAAATAGATTGGTCTGTCTATCTCTGTTTATCCGTCTATCCACTCTAGTCATCACTCAGTCATTAGGACTTTTAAATCCTCAGTGGAAGAAATACATTATTAGTTCACAGAGTAGATAATATCTTTATAGGATTAATCCCTTTAGTGGTAAGGAAAAGCCATTTTCAATCTTCAGAAAAACTATAAAAGAATGCATAAGTTCTTATGCATTCAAGAAAAACGGCTAAAATCTTAGAATATGTGCATATTTAAGTATAAAAACACAACCACTTTCAGATATACCAGAGTACCAGTCAGTTATTTTTAAAGAATTTTTCTTAGTTGACACAAAAAAGTATACTTATTTATGATGTTTTTGATATACTGTATAATGTTCAGGCCAAGCTTCTCAAACACCTTAAATATTTGTTATTTCCTTGTGTTTAAAGCTTTCTAACTACTATTTCTTGAGTACTTCCCTGTGCCAAACATTCTCTGTCACTGAACACAATGATCTCATTTAATTCTCAGGCTTACAAGGTAGTGATCATTTTCCATATACTAAAACAATGATTTACAGAGGTCAAATAATCACATACATTCTTTCAATTAAATGTGTCAAAGCTAGGGTTTCTTTCTCTGAATCCAAAACCCATGTTCTGCTGAAAGACCTTGGCTTCTAACGTTAACAATATTTATGAAAACAACAACAACAACAAAAGAGCAAAGCTGTCTACCCATGTTCCTTTCTTTCAATCTTAAGAAACTACAGCCAGGCATCATGGCTGTAATCCTAGCTACTCAGGAGTCTGAGATCTGAGGATTGTCAGCTGAAGCAGGAAAGTGGCGCTGTAGAAGTGGTAAAAAGCTAGCCTTGAGCTGAAAAACTCAGGGACAGCAACCAGGCCCAGAGTTCAAGCCCCACTACCGACAAAAAAAAAGAAATTTGTATTAAGCACAGTACTATACATATTATACTTCTAGATACCAAAATCATTTTAATCCACACAGGTGTAGTAGTAACTTTTTTAACACCTGTGGATTAACTGAATCAATATTGGCTGAAGAGTTCTATGTACCAAGCACTTTCAGCAAGACAAGATAATAACGCAATTCAGTATACACTGAATATGACTTAAGGTGGAATAGCTCAGAAACTTCTGAGACACAATTAGGTTCTCTATGGTGTCTCCATTTTATTTTGCCAGTCCTGGGCTTGAATTTAGTGCCTGGACACTGTCCCTGAGCTTGCCTGTGCTCAAGACTAGCACTCTACCACTGGAGCCACAGTGCCCCTTCGGCTTTTTCTGTGTATGTGGTACTGAGGATTCAAACCCAGGGCTTCATCCATGCTAGGCAAGCACTTTACCACTGAGCCACATTCCAGCCCAGTGTCTCCATTTTTTACTGCTAGAATGATTCCTGAAATTAAACAAGTACACGAAAGCATTTGGCTATCATAATATCTGGTAAAAGTATTACCCTATTTCTACCAGAAAAAGCAAAGTACTCATTTCCACGTTCTCTTCTTGTTGTTTTTTGGTTTTGGTTTTGGTTTTTGTTGATCATGGGGCTTGAACTCTGGACCTAGGCACTATCCCTCAGCTCTTCAGCTTAAGGCTAGTGCTCTACCACTTGAGCCACAGCACCACTTCTGGTTTTCTGAGTGATTTATTGGAAATAAGAGTCTCATGGACTTTCCTGCCCAGACTGGCTTTGAACAAGGAACCTTGGATCTCAGCCTCCTGAGTAGGTAGGATTGCAGGTGTGAACCACGGGCACCTAGCTTTCCACATTCTCTTCTTAAATCAAATTAGATAATATCTGTTAAAGTTCTGTAACCTATTACACACATGGTAAGAAATATGAATATATTCATTTTTATAACTATGGATGTACACTGTATAAAGTCCAGTATGAAATAATTTTCATTCATTTTAAAATTATCTACTAATAATATGTCTATTGCATATATACTAGTATATGTATAGTATATATAGTATATAGTATATTTAGTATATGTATATATATATACATATATATACATATATATATATAAGAAACTTGATGAGAAAGTTCTAAAGTTCATGCCTCAACAGGCATAATTGTGTTAACTTTCATGCTTTAAAATTAGGCCACAGATTGTACACTACAAAAAAAAAAAAGGATTCATGATTAGGTAAGTTATTTATTAAACAGATTCCTTTACTGTATTACTACTAGGAATTTTGGTATATGTTGTACATTGTCTTTCTAAAAACAAAAAACAAAAAACAAAATAAACCTGGAGATGATATTCTGCAGGAATTGTAGTTAAAATGCATACTTGTCCCTTGTATCAGCCTTCCTACACCCCAATCAAGGCCATTCCCAGCCTAAGACACAGGCTGGTCAAGTGGCCTTTTCTATATAATGAAATATACAAGGGTTTGACACACAGGTCAAGTCCATGTTTTAAAAGCCATGATTCTACCCCACATCTGTATATCCTTCAGTTTTGCTCCAGGAATAAAGAGGATGAGCACAATAGCAGCAGACTTACTGGGCAAATGAACAAAAATGAGGGTAACTTTTAATGTGATGTCCCACTAAAATAAAGGATTCTTTGGAAAATGAAATGTAACTTTTCTTAAACTTACTGATATAAAATTTGTTTCCCAGATTTACTGAACCCTGGCAACTTTTTGCTGACTATCATTTTCCAGGATTTAGTCCCTAAATTACTCTTGGTTATACATGAATACGTTTTTTTAATACTGTTTCTAAGGTAAACACATAGATATGAAATAAATATATATATATATGTATATATAAACCAGAAGTAAGCAGTCTTAACAATCTTCAATTAAGCTTTCATCTTAAATTTTGTCAGAGCATTGAATTTCAGTATCTGTTTATAGTCAAAATGCATTTTATTGCAGTAACTGGATCAATATTCAGAAATCATAAACCAAATGACTAGTCAAGTCTTTAGGCAGTAGTAGTCTGTGTGGTAGTATTCTGAATTTGTTTAATTAATTAATTTTAAGATTCACTACACTCAGCTACCTTTTGGAAGGCAATCAAAACATCCATTATAAAAAAGAACATCGATTATATTTCAGTACTAATGTTTAAATATTCCACAGTCTATTATACATAGTATAACCAAAATAAATTATATTCTCACTGATATTCTTTTCCTTTTTACCCAGTAATATTAGAGTTTGAACTCAGAGCCTTGCACTTGTCATGCAAATGCTCTACCACTTCAGCCACACTCTCAACAGCATCTGCTTTAATTTTGGGAGGGAGTCTCATATGTATGCCAAGACGGGACTGTGATCCTTCTACTTATTCCAGCTGGGATGACAGATGTGCACTACCACAATAAACTATTGTTGTTTGAGATGACGATCTCAAACTTTTTGCCCAGGCTGGCCTACAACCTTGACCATTGATCATCTCCCAAGTAGCTAGGATTACAAGTGAAAACCTCTATATCTGATACTCATTGAAATTTTTAAATCCAGAATTTGTATTTCTAATAAGTATGCACTAAATGTACAACAAACAGGAAAACCATTAACAAAATCCTAGTTTTGACATAAGATTTTTGTTATGTGTAAATATTCTACAGTAGCTGGACACCAGAGGCTGAGATCTGAGAACTGTGGTTCAAAGCCAGCACAGGCAATAAAGTCTATGAGACTCAACTCCAATTAACCACCAAAAGCTGAAAACAGAGATGTGGCTCAAGTGATAGAGAGCTAAACTTTAGCAAGAAAGCTCAGGGCCAGTACCCAGGCCCTGACTTCAAGCACCAGCACCAGCACTAGCACCAGCACAAAAAATGAAACATCCTATAGCAGCTCAAGTGGTATATAGCAGCTCAAATGGTATATAGCACCTGCCTAGAAGGCACAAGGCCCCCCAAGTTAAGACCCCCAACCAATCAAAAAAATAAACATATACGTTCCTATATTCAAACCAAATTGCATGTATTTTTACTATGTGTACAGTCTTAGACAATGACATTCAGAAGAATAGTTTCAGGTCTTAATGCTTACATCAGCCAAAAAAGCAACACGTTTACTAAAAGCATAAATTAGATGAAAACAAGTAAGAATACTTTAAAACAGAAGGACTTCAAGTTCATTTTCCACTGGAAAGCTAATAACTACAATCAAAAATATTATCTTAATTCACACCAAATATTTCAGTCTTATAAATCACTATTCACCATACATCAGTATGCACAAAACAGTAAACTAAAACACCTTTTATTCCTAGATTGGGAAAACACAATGCATCTGAGTAACCACTACTAAAACTAACCTTTCAAAACAGATAAAGAACTCTTCCTAGGTCAACAGCTTTGAAAATAATTTGTAAAAAAGGATGTAAGTTTCAGACTCTGATAATTTGTTGTACATATGTGGTTTACAAAGTTTTCCCACTTTTAAATGGCTTCATGATATACATATCTAGTATTTTTAGTGGGTAAGAAAAATTCCCCAATACTGATTAATTTTTCAACCAAAGTTAACCAGTTCTGGTGAAAACCAATTTTTAGGTATTTAACCTCTAAATATACAAGCCTTTAATAAACTGACTTTCTCTAATAATACACTAGTGTGCAGAAACAAATACTAAAAAAATTATGATATTATAAGATTTAACTTACTTGATGATGAAGTTCAAAATGTAACTTTTTAAAAAATAATAAAACTGACAGAATAAAAAAGTACAAGTGTCACACTTCCCGGTCAATATGGAAAGGGAGTCCATCAGCTGGGAAATGGCTGAGACTAGCTCTGACAGCTCACCACTTCCAGGTCAATAAGTAAGATGCACCTTCATAACAACTCTTACCAGTCAAGTCAAGACTTTCCATTGTGATTTCAATGGAACATCAGAACTTCCAGCTCCTGTGATGCAGCAAAATTCTGTGAAAAAAAACCATAGGCACATAGTTAAAATGGGGAACCACGAAGGTCTTTCAAACAAAGCTGACACTCATTCTCTTTTTGTAAAATAATCCTCAATAAAATAAAGTATCAACCAAATAATCAAACGTTAACACTAACACTGTTCAGAAAAAAAAAATATCTTAAAGTACATATAATTAATTTAACAAAAAGTTCCACAATTATCCAATGCAAATTTCTGAGATTAAGAGTCCCTTGACTAAGTTTTATATGTAATCATTCCTTGGCCTTTTGGCTAAAATCAAATATAGAATTACAGGCAAATACTCTGAGAAAATATTGGGTGGAATTGACATCCTGACTAAATTCAATGTCTGATCCAACTCAACCCTATAAATTAACATTGGTAACCGTGGCCGGTCTGAGGCTACCCGGGGCAAAAGCAAAAATATGAGACCATATCCAAAAGAACTAGAAAGGCAACAAATCAAGTAAATATAAAACAAATAAGAAAAATAGGGAAACAAGATGAGGAACACAAACTATTAACAATAAATAACAAATAAACATTATTTTCTAAGTATAAATAATAAGATATAGGAACAATAAAAGTCATAAAAATTTTTTCATACAGATAAAATGTCAGTAATACTGAAAAATATTCCTAAATTGCATTATTTTTAAGAATTAAAAAGTTGTACATTTCTGTTTCTTTTTGAGACATATCTACTTTCTATTGCTTCAAAAATAAGACTAGGGCTGGGAAGGTGGCTCAGTGGTGGAGCGCTTGCCTTGCATGCATGAAGCTCTGGGTTCTATTCCTCAGCACCACATAAGCAAAAAGAAAAAAGCCAGAAGTGGCGCTGTGGCTCAAGTGGTAGAGCACTAGCCCAAGAGCTGAGGGACAGCGCCCAGGCCCAGAGTTCAGGCCCCACAACCGGACCCCCCCCCCCCAAAAAAAAAAGACTAAATCTACACTCAAATAAATGACATAGTTCCTGCCTGTAACATACTATGATATATTTTCTTATAATTTTTTTAAAAATTAGATATCCTTGTAGAATTACCACTGTAGAAATTAATTAGCACTAGTTTATCAGTGATTTATTCAACAGTACTAGTCATATAATGGCTTGGCTGAAGTTGGACTCCCTGCCCTCAATCAGCCAATATCATATAAATAAATCAGCTTTTCATGTTAAACATCAGAACCTCTAATAATAGTTTGAATATTTCTACCTGGAAATGAATGATTCTGCTTTTGCTCACTACTATATATGAAAACAGTAACATGAAAGAATAAAATATTAAATAGTCTCATAATATTTTATGCAAGATATAACTCACTGGTCCTTCAATTTCTGAAAATAAAGAGTATGCATGAAAAAACAGATTTTTGAAGATCACTACAAAGAATATATGAATACCTTTAAATTATAAATTCCTGTATTTTTACAATATTTTTGAAGCATGCAATCCCTAAAACTAGTAATATATCTACTTAGAATTATAATAAAATAGACTAATAAAATAGACTAACATTAGAAAATATTTTTTAAAAATCTTAAAAAACTTTCATATCCATAAACTTTTTCTTCATAGAAATTCATAAAAGCAAGTATGTAGAGAACCACTAAAATATTGTAAATGAGAAAAATCAGTAAATAAATGTCAAATAAATAAATCACTATACATTAAAAAGATAAATACAATTGTACAGCTAATATTGGGAAAGGAGAGCCCACCACCAATTTTGACAATGTAAGGTAAATTGTTATTTTGGTTTAAAAATCTGTTTACTCTTTAGTCTAAGGAGTGATCATATGCTATCTGAGAAATCAAATATGCTATTTCATCCTACATGAGTTCCTTCACTAGCTCCAAGATATTTTTACTAATCATTAGATGTCCTTAGGGAATTATTTCTATAATGGAATAGATGTCAGAATCACCTCATTTTCCTTACTGTGCAATAACTTAACTGTGATGTAACTACGTAACTATGAGTGGTGGAGGAGAGGAATTAACTATATTGTAGCCACTATAGATACTGAAATTCTTCTAAGAAAATAAAGATATAGTAAACTTAAGAAACTACCCAGTGCAATCACAGAAGTCAATTCCCATGCTGAAGGGCCTGCCTGAGTCATTCTCTTTGACTTCTCTGACAAGCAAACTTAAGAACTTAAGAGACTCCAGATTTTATCTGGCTATTTATTAAAAATATCTACATGAGTAACTTCTGAAAAGCAGTTTCAGCATAAGCTGTACTGCATTTAAATTACAAGTATTTCAAGAAGAGTTTGACTTGAGAAAGGTGGGTTGCTGGGTAGAAATTAGAAGGCCATGTGGGCAAATGCCCAAAGTGTGAAAACAATGATGCCCTTCATGTGCCCTCAGACCAAAGCCAGGCAGAATCATCTGAACCACTGACTCATGTTCTCTAGATTCCCCCTTTGGCTTCCTCTCAATCCCCACTCACCCCTATAAAGCCTTGATATCCCAACTCCCCATATTAGCTCCCATTGCCTCATTAAGCACTTCCCCTTCCCTTAGCAAGGCCTGCTTTTCACCCATGGCACTGCATCCCCCAGTGTTGGCCAGCTGAGACCCAGCACAGCTCATGATTCTCCCTGAGAAATGTTGCCAGCTATTATTTGCTTCTTACCACAAATCGGGTATCTGACTTGGCACCTAAAAAACCTATTGTAAATATGCAGCCTAAGCAACTACTGAAGTATCCCCAAGCGATTGGCTTTCTGGCATAGTTCTTCCTTGAGATGCTACATTTGGAAAATTTTATGATACTAAAAAAAGGTAAGGTGTCATTTTTTACAATGAGGCTGAGTCACTATTACTGTTAATGTCTTCTGTAGCATTCAAAGGCATATCATGACAAACTTCCCTTCTATTCCAAATGTGCACTGTCTAGTTAGATGTCACTACTATCTAGTCAGTGCAAAAGGGGCTCCAAGGAACCATGTGCCTAGTTAGAATCCTCATGAATGGTTACTTTTTGAATCCTCATGAATGATTACTTTTCTGATGCTCTCATCAGTTCTCTGGGTAATAGATTAAGCTTTAACTAACTCATTTTCATACATACCCCTAATTCAATCAAGCTCAATAAACAGCCATTCTAGAGTACAATTATTTGCTGAGGAACAATTATATTCAAATGAAAAAAGAAAGGCTGGCCATGACACAATGCATGATACAGATGCCTCTCCATTTATGATTTAAGGACAACAAATATAGCCAAAGCACTAGAAAAGGAAATAGGCTTTTCTTTTTCCTCACTGCCACCCCAACCTGAAAACAGAATATTCACCCTTTTATACTTAGAAGAAAAAAAACCCTGGGGAACATGAAAAAAGTAAAATTTTAAATTATTACTTTCAATTATGCTTTGAAAGAAATTACACTTCTAATCCAAGAAATGACCTTAGAAAATGACTTCTAAGAGTCAAAACAGATTTTAAAAAAAAAATCACAAACTCAAAAAGTTCTAGTACCTACAGGCCCCTGAAATCTGTTTACTTCTTTTGCTTTCCCAACAAAACATATTCCAGGACCCACTTTTAAAAAGATCATCTTATAGCCAGGTGCTGGTGGCTCACGCCAGTAATCCTAGCTACCTAGGAGGCTGAGATCTGAGGATCCTTGTTCAAAGCCAGCCTGGGCAGGAAAGTCCTGAGACTCTCATCTCCAATAAACCACTCAGAAAACCAGAAGTGCTACTGTGGGTCAAGTGATAGAGCACTTGCTTTGAGCTGAAGAACACAGGGACAACGCCCAAGCCCAGAGTTCAAGCTCCACAACCAACAAGAAAAAAAAATTAAAAAATAAATAAGTAAAAAGGGGCTGGGAATGTGGCTCAGTGGTAGAGTGCTTGCCTTGCATGCATGAGGCCGAGTTCAATTCATCAGCACCACATAAGCAGAAAAAGCTGGAAGTGGCCCGGTGGCTCAGATGGGAAAACGTTAGCCATGAACTGAAGTGCTGATGAGCTGAGGGATAGCACTCAGACCCAGAGTTCAGGCCCCAGGACTGGCAAAAACAAAAATAAAAAAATTTTAAAAAACTCATCTTATAAAGATGTTCCAGTCTTAAAATTTTTTCTTTACATGGATGCAATTCTTGTTTTCCTCAACTTACTCTTTTGTGCACATCCAAGCAAACAAGTGTTAAAGAGTTCTCTCCAGGGGCTGGGAAGGTGGCTCAGTGGTAGAGCGCTTGCCTTGCATGCATGAGGCCCTGGGTTCGATTCCTCAGCACCACATAAGCAAAAAGAAAAAAGCCGGAAGTGGAGCTGTGGCTCAAGTGGTAGAGCGCTAGCCTTGAGCTGAAGAGCTGAGGGACAGCGCCTAGGCCCAGAGTTCAGGCCCCACTACTGGACCCAAAAAAAAAAAAAGAGTTCTCTCCATATCTAACAATTAAGTACTTACAGACTTGAACATGTTTATTCTCTAATGAGTTGACAGATAACATTGGGTAACAGGCACAGACTTTAGCATTCATTATCTAACAGGCCTCTAAAACAGCAAGATGGAAAATTAGGATGCACCAATTATAAAATTGTATTTTAAAACCCACTCTTCTAACATATTTGACAAAAGTATAGCAATGAAAATGACTTAATTTTCTATGTATTACTATCTATTATTATGTGTTAGCACACCACTGAAAAAAGGTACAACATGTATAACAACATTGCTCTTTCTTAAAGCTGGTGATCAAGTTGGATAACCATACACAATCACATACACAAGTTACATAATGTTAAAGTAATAAGTAATAAATGTTAAATGATAAAGAATTTGTATGTATGTAGGTGTGCACATGTGTCCACACATGCTGAGCATGGTGGTACTGGGACTTGAACTCAAAAGCCTGGACACAGCCCTGAATTTTGTTACTCAAGGCTAGCATTCTACCACTTGAGCCACAGCTCTACTTCCAGCTTTCTTGTCATTACTAGTAGATAAGAGAGTTACAGACTTTCCTGCGCAGGCTGG